GGCAGCAAGCTGCCGGCATAGTTCATGTCCCCACACTTGGTTTCCATTCTTCTCACCAGGTGGCTAGGCCACTGGCAATGACCCACAAATTGGTGAAAATGTAGCAAGGTTTGGTGGCCTGAGTGGCCTTTGCAACCATCACCCCTGCACGGAGTTCAGGCCACTGAGCAGAATGCCCATGCCCAGTCCCAGCCAAAAGAGGGAAAAGTGAGTGGGAGGCACGTTCTAAGGACAGGGAAGGGGTGAGGAGTCACCCACTGCCGGAGTGCAGCTTGGAAGTCAACCAGCAGTCATGTTGTCTCAGTGAACACCAACAGACCGTTGCAATACCATGGGAGTTGGCTGGTGGTGTGGCAATGCCAGGGTGGCCAAGAGCCAAGGTATAGGTTTTCTTCTTAGGACCCACTTCTTGTATGTCTGCCCTCATCCATTGCACCAGCATATTCCTACTGACACAGAGATTATCTACATCCCTACAAGGCAGAAGAAAGCAGCCCATGATTCTTGGGGGGCTGGCATCACCCTGGGGCGCTGGGGCTGACAAGCCCTTGTGCTTCCACCACGCCAGAGATGGTGACCCTGCTCACTGTGCTCAACTGCCGAGCAGAACACAGTGACCCAGTTACCAATCCAAAGGAAGGACTTCAGCTACTGAGAGGACAGCGAAGCTCCTCACAACACAAGCCACCTGGAGTGAAAGTCCAACCACTCTGCTCACTGCCTGCCGGTATCAGAGTCAGCAAGGAAGACACAGCGCAGTAGAGCACCGAATGGCACAGGCAGCAGGTCAGCTCCGATAGTGTTCATCAGTCCCCCATGGCCACCAAGGTCCCGGTCCACTCCTAACAGCCACTGCAGGGCAATGAGTCTGTATGGGCCCTTCTTGTCCAGAGTGGAAAGACCCCAACTCCTCCCCATGGGGTCTGAAATACTGAATGCTCGGGGTGTGCTTGAGGCCGTCGACACGCATGATTAAACAGAAGAAGTCTGTGAGCCTGGCACCCGTGCGTGGGCTGTGTCTCTTGGTAAGGAAGTGTTCCAGGCCCAAGGCCCATTCTCCGGGTGCCGGCTGGGGACTGAAAGACTGCACACGAGATGTCCTTTACCAACAAGGGCAAAACTAGTCAGATAGTTTTGGGGGTCACTGAGGGCACCAACTTATTAGTAACTAAAGGAAAAGAATTAAGTATTTATCCTGCCCCCTCCTCCTCCTCTTTCTTCCTCTTCTTTCTTCCTCTTCCTCCTCTTCTTTCTCCTTCAAAACATCTTATTTATTTTAGAGAGAGACCATGAACAGGAGGGGCAAAGGGGGAGAGAGAGAGAGAATCCCAGGCAGATTCCGTGCTGGTCTTCCCATGTGGAGCTGGATCTCATGACCCTGAGATCAGGCCTGAGCAGGAGTCAGAAGCCTGACTAGCTGTGCCATCCAGGTGCCCTTATCTTGGTTTTCTTCAATGAACTATATAGCAGAGAAATTAGATAGTTTTAGAGAATATTTGTAGAAAAATTCTAGCTAATACGTTCAGAATGAATGATAGAATTAGAAAATCACCATTTGGCTTTTTTTTTTTTTTTTGAGAGAGAGAGAGAGAGAGAGAGAGAGAGCAAGCACAGGAGGGCAGGAAGGGCAGAGAGAGAATCTTAAGCAGGCTCCATACCCAGAACAGGGAGAGTTGGGATGGGGGGCTCCATCTCACGACCCTGAGATCATGACCTGAGCTGAAATTAAGAGTCAGAGGCTCAACCAACTGAGTCACCCAGGCACCCCACCATTTGGCAATTTCTAATGAGATAATTGACATTAATAAATCTAACACTGCATGGCCAAGACTTCTACCCCAAAACCTGTAAAACTATATTGAAAGAATTTAAAGACTTATGAAAAAGAGAGATACACCATGTTCATATATTGAAAGACTCCGTATAATAATGATCTAATCATCTGTAAATTGATCTATAGATTCAATGCCATCTCAGTCAATCACTGGAAGATGTGTGTGTGTGTGTGTGTGTGTGAGAGAGAGAGAGAGAGAGAGAGAGAGAGAGAGAGTGAAAAACAAACTGATTTTAAAACAAATACAAAATTGAACACCAATAAAAAATAAATTTACTATTAATAAAAAATAAAAATAATAAAAAAATAAAACAAATACAGAAATGCAAAAAGGGTAAGAAGAGCTAAGACAAACTTGAAGAACAAAGCTGAAGGATTAACATGATCAGATATCAAGACTTACTATGAAGTTGCAGTAAACACAATAGTATGGAAATAGGCCCAAGAATAGACTAATTATCAAAAAGAGCAGGAAACGGAGTCCAGAAGCTGGCCCATCCACATACAGTCGCTTGCTTTATGCCAGAGTGTGCAGTGCAATACACCGCTGGAAAGGGTCACCTTTCGATAAACAGAGCTGGGTCAATTGTGCCTCGATACAGAAGTTCTTATACACTGATCCCTCCCTCTCACAGGTACACACAATCGATTACAGTGGATTGTAGATCTAATTGTGAAAGGCAAAACAAAAAAGGCTTTAGAAGACAATATAGAAAAAATTATCTTTACAACCTGGGGAATAAGAAAATATTCCTACAAAGTGCATAAAAAAAGCACCAATCATAAAAGAAAAGATTTATAGATGAGACCTTATTAAGAACTTGTGTTTTGAAAAGGACGGTGTTAAGAAACTGAAAAGGACAGCCACAGACTGGGAGAAAATATTTGCAACGTGTATCTGATGACGGATGCATATGCAAAATATACAAATAATGTCTACAAGCCGGTGAGAAGTAGACACACAACACATTTAAACATAAACAAAGGAGTTAAATAGCCACTTTAAAAAAGAGGAATAATGGGATCCCTGGGTGGCGCAGCGGTTTCGCGCCTGCCTTTGGCCCAGGGCGCGACCCTGGAGATCCGGGATCGAATCCCACGTCGGGCTCCCGGTGCATGGAGCCTGCTTCTCCCTCTGCCTGTGTCTCTGCCTCTCTCTCTCTCTGTGACTATCATAAATAAATAAATTAAAAAAAGAGGAATAATAGCCAGTAAAATAAGTAAAAATTCTCAATTTTTTTCAGCTTTATTGGGTTATGAATGAGGTGATAGCTCATTGTGATTCTGATTTGCATTTCCTTGATGATGAGTGATGTGGAGCATCTTCAACAGGTACATTTCATGTACCTGTTGGCCATGTGTATGCCTTCTTTGAAAAACAAATGTCCTTTCAAGTCCTTTGCCCACGTAAAAGTCAGATTATTGTCTTGTTTTTTTGTTTTTGTTATTGAGTTGTGTGAGTTTCTCAATTACTTTGGATATTAATCCCTTACCAGATACACAATTCACAAACATTTGCTGATTCCGTAGGTTTTGTTTTCATTTTGTTGATTCTTTCTTTTGCTGTGCAGAACTTTTCAGTTTGACACAGTCCCACTTATTAATTTTTGATTGTGTCGCTTGTACTTTTTGTGTCATATCCAAAAAATCATCGCCACGACCAATGTCAAGGGGCTTTTCCTCTATACCTTCCTCTAGGAGCTTTATGATTTCAGTTCTTATGTTTAAGTCTCATTTTGAGTTAATTCCTTTTCTCATTTCCAGTTAATTTTTGTGAGGGGTGTAGGATAGTGTCCAATTTCATTCTTTTTCGTGTGAATATTCAGGTTTCCCCAGCACCATTTCTTGAAGACACTGTCTTTTCTCCATTAAGTGTTCTTGGCTCCTTTGTCAAATATTAGTTGACCATACATGCAATGCTTTATTTCTGGGCTTTTGATTCTGTTCCATTGGTCTGTGTGTCTATTTTTAAGCCAGGGTCATAGTATTTTGATTATTATAGCTTTGTAGTATAGTTTGAAAGCAGAAATTGAGATGCATACAACTTTGTTCTTCTTTCTCAAGATTTCCTTGGTTACTCATGGTCTTCTTTGATTCCATACATATTTTAAAATTGTTTTTTTTTTCTATTTGTGTGGGAAAAACCCATTGGACAGACATAGAAAGAGATAGACTTGATCAAATCTATGGATGACTTTAGATAGTATAGGCATTTTAGTAATATTAAATCTTCTAATCCATAAAAATTAGATATCTTTCTTCTTATTCATGTCTTCAGTTTCTTTAATCAAAGTCCTATAGTTTTACAGACCTTTGAACTCTTTGGTTAAGTTTACTCCGATTTTTTTTGGATGCTATTTTGGATGACATTGTTTTCTTGACTATTTTTTCTTGATATTTTGTTGGCCTTGGCAATGATTTTTTTTTGTAATAAACTGACTTTTTGTGACTTTCTGCACAGAAAGAAACACAACTGCTATGTATATGTTGACTTGTATCCTGCAATTTAAATGAATTTGTTTATTAGTTTCAACAGTTTCTTGGTAGAGTCTTTAGGGTTTTCCATAAGACCATATTATCTACAAATGAAGCTTGACTTCTTCTTTTCTGGTTTTGATACCTTTTATTTCTTTTACTTGTCTGATTACTGTGGCTATGACTTCTGGTACTTTGTGAGTGGGAGTGGTGAGAGTAGGCACCCTTGTCTTGTTCCAAGTCTTGGAGGAAAAGTGTCATTTTGCCTGCATTATTCTATCTCCCAAACCAGTATTGCTCAGGGCCAAGAAGGAATTCCTCAGCAAATTCTCTCCTCCAAAGTTAATCACAAAACTGGACTAAATTGTCAAAATAATCATTCTAGGGCTCTGGAAATAGACCAAAGGCATATGACTACTTTAGAGGCAGTTATTAATAAAATATTAAACTTTGAATAAAAACAGTTCTGGGGCTCAGTTGGTTAAGCATCTACCTTCAGCTGAGGTCACAGTCCCAGTGTCCTGGCATGGAGCCCTGTGTAGGGCTCCCCATTCAATGGGAAGTTTGCTTGTCCCTCTCTCTCTGTCCCCCTGACCCCTGCTCATGCTCTCTCTTTCAAATAAATAAAATCTTAAAAAAAAAAAAAAAAACCAACAAACAAAAAACCCAGTAAATTCTGTGACTATCTTACCTGAGACTGCTCCCATTTCTGCTGCCTCAGATTGTGGGATATTGTACCAGGATGTTCAAGCTGTGAAAACCCAGAGCTTCACTGCCAGAGGGATCTCCCTTGGTTTTGAATAAGCATAGAAAAAGTTACTCCTAGCAGGACTGGAAGTAATAGTTATGATCTCAGGAGCAAACAAGCAGATAAAACCAGTGGCTCAGCTAGACTGAGGTTGCAATCCTGCAACAATTAACTGGGGGACTGACCAAAAAAATTAACAGGAATATCAGGAACATGAGACAGCAATAAGGTCTGGATAAGTTCCCACATGTCTGCACAGGATAGACCAGAGAGGACCCGAGATATCCATACCAACAGCATGATCAATGAAAGAAGAATTTGATAAACTGGGCATTGTCAAAATTAAAAACTCAAAAGACACCAATGAAGTTAAGCCACAGGCTAGGGGAAACTATTTCCCAGGTGTATATCCGATAAAGGATTTTTATCTAGGATGTACTAAGAAGTCTTATAATTTAATAGTAAGGAGGCCCAATTAAAAAACAGGCAAAGTGCTTAAACAGACATTTCACCGACAAAGATATGTGAATATCTAAAAGCCCATAAAAAAGAGGGGCACATGGGTGGTTTAGTTGATTGAGCATCCAATTCTTGGTTTTAGCTCAGGTCATGATCCCTGGGTCCTGGGATCGAGCCCTGTGTCAGGCTCTGCACTCAGTGGGAAGCCTGCTTGAGATTCTCTCTCCCTCTCCCTCTGCTCCCACCCCTCCACTTGTGTGTGTGCTCTCCGTCTCTTAAATAACTAAATAATCTTTAAAAAAAATCCCAGAAAGGAAAATGGAAATTACTAGGAAAATGCAAATTAAATCATAATGAGATATCAATACACTCACTAAGATGATTAGAATAAAAAAATACAGACTCCCCTGCAAAAAACCCAAGATGATATTAATCAGAAACAATTATGGAAATAAAAATAAAAAAACCCAGAAAATAGTAAGAGTTGAGGAGGATGTGGAGAAACTGGAGCCCTCATATATTGCTTATAGCAGTGTAAAATGGTACAGCCACTCTAGATTACAATTTAGCAGTTTCTTATAAAGTTAAACTATCATGTGACCCAGAAATTTCACTGTTAGCTTTATATCCAAGAGAAATGAAAACATGTAAAAGACTTACAAGCAAATTTTCATACTAGCATTATATATAATATTCAAAACTGGAAACAATTCAAATGTCAGTCCACTGGTGAATGGATGACGTGTTACATCTATGAAGTGGAATCCTACTCAACAGCAGAAATAAATGAACACTAATAGAAGTTTCAACATGTATGACTGTAAAAACTATGTAAAAAACTAAGTGAAAAAAGCTAGATAGAAAAGACCACAGGACTCCTAGGTGGCTCAGGGTTGAGCATCTGCCTTCGGCCCAGGTCATGATCCTGGGGTCTGGGATTGAGTCCCACATCGGGCTCTCCACAGGGAGCCTGCTTCTTCCTCTGCCTATGTCTCTCTGTGTCTCTCATGGATAAATAAATAACATCTTAAAAAAAAGAAAAGAAAAGACCACATACAAAATGATTCCATTTATAAGAAGTGCTCAGAGAAGACAACGTATAGAGATGGAAAAGCAGATGAATGGTTGCCTGGGGCTGGGGTGGGAGCTGGGGTAGGGACTGATGGCAGTTGGGCAAGATGGAATACTGTGGGACAATGGAAGTTTTCTACAACTCAGCTTGGTGATATTTGCACATCTTCAAAAATTCACTAAAAATCATTAAATTGGGGATCCCTGGGTGGTGCAGCAGTTTGGCGCCTGCCTTTGGCCCAGGGCGCGATCCTGGAGACCCGGGATTGAATCCCACGTCGGGCTCCTGGTGCATGGAGCCTGCTTCTCCCTCTGCCTGTGTCTCTGCCTCTCTCTCTCTCACTGTGTGCCTATCATAAATAAATTAAAAAAAATCATTAAATTGTGCAGTTAGAATGGGTGAATTTTTTTTGTAAGTTATAGCTCAGTAAAGGTATCAAAAACCAGGGGTGCCTGGGTGGCTCAGCGGTTGAGCATCTACCTTTGGCTCAGGGCGTGACCCCAGGGTCCTGGGATCGAATCCCACATAGGGTTCCCTGCATGGAGCCTGCTTCTCCCTCTGCCTGTGTCTCTACCTCTCTCTCTCTCTGTGTCTCTCATGAATAAATACATAAAATCTTTAAGAAAAAATTAAGGATTCGTGTGTTCCAGAGAAATTCACACACGGGCCCACAGCAAGACATGTCTAGAAATGGTCATTGTAGTTGGAGACGATTAGACAAATGCAGTTGCTGCATGCGAGGGAATGCTGTGCACATTAGAAGCAGCGATGAAATTCATATAACAACATGGATATGTTGTAAAAACAGTGCTGAGTAAAAATAATAAGGAATAATACAAGGTCTATGTAGTAAAATGCCCTTTATATAAATTTAAAGCTCACACGCACACCACCACCACCACCACCACCACCACCACCACCATCACCAACATGGGTGAAATACGGAATTTAGAAGCTACATACAAAACACGTTGAATCATAGTTAACGATGGCAGTGGAGGCTGGGTAATGGGATTCACTCAATCATCTTCATCTGAGATCCATAGGTGGGAAGAGGTGAGGGGGAGACCGTGTGTGGGAACCCCTGCAGATTAGTGGTTCTTTGGAGGGACGTGGGGAAGGAAAAGAATGAGAGGGATCTGTACTGGTTATGTCTGTGTAGTTTAATTTAAAAAAAATAGGCGGTCTGCTCTATAGCCTCTGTACTTCAGTTACAGGCAGTAGAGTTTATGATGGAAATCGTGGGCTCTGGTTGTTGATTATCTGAGCCCAAACCCAAAGCTGCCAGTTATCAGCCGTGTGACTTAGTGCAGCCGTCTGAACCTCCCCGTGCCTCAGTTTCTACACCTGTAGGATAGGAATGAGGATAATACCTATTACACGGGGCTGATCTAATTGCCGAAACACGTATTTCATATGAGAATATATACAGATTTGCGTGGCACTTACTGTGCTTGGCACAAAGCAGCGTAATATAAATGTTTTCTATTATTTGAAAGATCTAAAGCAAAAAGGACAACCTGGAAGCATTTGTTTAATAGTGGCTGTGCGTAAGTTGGTGTGTGTATATAAAACATATATATATACACATACATAAATATATATATATATTTGAGTTTTTGTTTTCGAATTTTTTTTTCTGTGAAAAACAAAAACAGGAATGCACTTACCAGGGGAAGGAAGGACGAACGATGGAAGGCAGGAAGAATGGAACGGAGCCGAGTGAAGCAGGACTGGAAACCTTGAAGCTTAGAGAATTCCTCAGAAATAACCTAGGTCGGTCCGGCTTTGGTTTCTCTTCCCCTTTAACAACTTTTTGGTTTGTTAGCACCAAAAATCAGGGAAAGGAAATCTGCCAATTCTGTAATTTTGAGGTGGCATCTGGTGCTAACAGCTCTGATGAGGCAAGAGTGTGAAATCTTGGCTAAAATATAGTTAACGGGTGTTCTCCTGAATTGTGGTTTTTTTGTTTTTTTTTTGGATCGATGGATAGATTTTTCCCTCTGGTTACAGGTCACAGTTCCTGCTTATTTGCATACCTGGTAATGTTTGATCGGATACCTGACGTTGTACTTGTACGTTATCAGGTTCTGGCTTTTTAAAATTCCTTTAGATTTTTATGGGCTGGGTTAAAAATGCAGTAAATTACTTGGAATGGGTTTGATTTTTTCTGAGGCTTGCTTTTAAGGGTCTGATAGGACAGGTCTAAGTCAACTTTTCTTTTTCTTTCTTTCTTTTAAAAGATGTTATTTATTTATTCATGAGATACACAGAGAGAGGCAGAGACCTAAGCAGAGGGAGAAGCAGGCTCCGTGCAGGGAGCCTGATGTGGAACTTGATCCCGGGACCCCGGGGTCACGCCCTGAGCCCAAGGCAGATGCCCAACCACTGAGCCACCCGGCATCTCTAAGCCAACTTTTCATCAAGGGCCAATTCGGTCCCACTGAGGCACTGTGCTTCTGAGCCCTGTGTCTGAGGTTCAGGGAAGAGGCAGTGTCCCCACCCGGCTAGTGGGGGGGGGGCACGATCCCTGCCCTGGGTGAGCGCCCCAGCTTGATCTGCCTCCCCCTCCCTGGTGTTGGCTCCGGGCCCTGGAGGCTTCCTTCCACCTGCCATACACCGTGGGCCAGAGACTGCGGGGAGCCCTCTGCCATCTCCGGAGCGCTCTCTCTCTCTCTCTCTCTCTCGCTCTCTCACTCTCTCCATCTCCCCCTCTGATCCTTTGCTAACAATTTTCATCACCTTGTCCTCCTCGAGCTCTGAAACTGTCTCCTCAGCCGGGTGAGAATCCTGGGCTCTGTGTTGGTTTCCCCCTCCCCATCCAGCCTGGAGACTCGGGGACACTTTTTGGGGTCACCTCCCTTGTTTTCCTTCTCTCCAGGGTCACTGACCTGCCCTGGTGGAAGTGCAATGTCTGAAAACTCCTGTTTCACATATTCTGTCCAGCATTTGGTTGTTTAAGGAGGGAGGGTAACTCCAATCTCTGTTATTTCATCGTGATTGAAAGCTGAAGTTGAACGTTTTTGATGAACAGTTTCACCATGTTTAAGTCATTTCTTTCTATCCCTATTTTAATTAGTATTTCTATTAGAGATGCTCTTAAATATTAGGACACAGGGGTGCCTGGGTGGTCCAGTCCGTTAAGCCTCCGACTTGTGGTTTTGGCTCAGGCCCTGATCTCAGGGTCGTGGGCTCAAGCCCCACAGCAGGATTCACGCTGGGCGTGGAGCCTGCTCAGGATTCTCTCTCTTTCCCTCCCCCATTGCCCCTCCCCTGCCTCTTAAAAATATTTTAAAAATTAAAAAAGAATTGTAGTGTTATTGTCAGAAGTTCAACTTGGGTCTTCTTGTACCTTCCACGTCTCTCCCGGCACGTCCAGTCTCCCCTCTGACTTCTTGAACATGTAGGCAACAGTTATACGCAGCGGTTGCAGGGAACCTGCTGTGTTCTTATCCACTAACTGTACGTAATCTGTGTTGTTTCTGCATGTGGCTTCATGTTTGCTTTTTCTCTTCATTATGGATGGTATTTTTCTGTTGTTTTTTCTTTTCACGCCTGCTAATTTTGGGTGAGATGCAAAACCCTGTAAACTGGGCTTCCTGGAGGCTGTACCTGAGAGAGGTGAGGACCTAGTGTCTGGCTGGAGAAGCAGGCGTGAGGCTCCCCCGTGTGGGCCCAGCAGGGGAAGAAGGGACGTGGGGCATTGTCCTCTGGAGCAGCAGGCTCCGGTCCCCACTGCGGCCTGAGGCATCCACTCTCACGTCGTAGTGGATTCGCTGGTTGCGCTCAGGCCCGAAGCAGTTAACGGTGCCTAGAAGAGTCCCAGGGGGAGAGTTAGTGGGCTCAGCCTCAGGACCCAGTAGGGCTCCAGGGTGGGCAAGGGGAGAGATTTTAGTACCAGTAAAGAGAGTCATTAGGAAAGCAGCTCTAGCAAAGAGAGGGAGACCCACCTGACCAGAGGAGGGGAGCTGCTTGCGCAGAAGGCTGTTGGTAGAGTCTGGAGGCTACAGGGGGGCTACATGCCCCACGTCCCTTTCTTCTCCTGCTGGGCCCAGTAAGCACAGTTTACAGGGTTTTGCATCTCACCAAAAATTCTTAAACCACCCAGGTGCCCTGAGAGCGAGAGCCGAGACTGAAGGGGAACTGCCTCCCCCTGGCTTTGCTGGGGGTGAGCTCGAGGCAGAGACTCTGCTGTTACTTAAATGCCTTTATTCTGGTCAACCATAGTCTTTGGCTCTAACTCTCTAAGGTTCATGAACTTAGAGAATATCTGTTATAGATGAAATGAAATTGTGAAATGTTAATACATACACATGGTATCTAACAACCTATCTATTGTTTATATCTAACAACCAAGGTGTGAGAAATATAGCTTGAAACAAAATGATGGTAGGTGGTAGGTAACTTACCTGTGCCTGAAAGTTCTTTGTTCACACAAAAGGTCCCTGATTGTTGTTTTAGGATGTACTTATTCTTATCTATCTACTATCTATCTATCTATCTATCTATCTATCTATCTATCTATCATCTATCTATTTATTTATTTATGTAATCTCTACCCCCAAGGTGGGACTTGAACTCATGACCCCAGGAGGCAAACGCTTTTCTGACTAAGCCAGCCAGGTGCCCCAGTATGTACTTATTTTTTGACTGAGATCAAAGAAAAAAAAAAGTTTTAAAGATTTTGTTTTTATTTATTTGTTAGAGAGAGAGAGAGTGAGCATGCACACAAGCAGGGTGAGTGCAGGCAGAAGGAGAAGCAAGCTCCCGGCTGAGCAAGGAGCCCCACAAAGGACTCAATCCCAGGACCCTGGATCACGACCTGAGCGGAAGCCAGACGCTCAACCATCAGAGCCACCCTGGGACCCTGCGATCAAAGCAGTGTTCATGCGAAATGCTTGAAGGTCACATGTGAAGGCAACCTTAGTTTTGGTGCTCGTCTATATGGATTGAATATTCATAAAAGGTTTGTATTTCTTTCTTTCTTTTTTTTTAAAGATTCTTATTTATTTATTTATTCATGAGAGACACACACAGAGAGAGGCAGAGACACAGGCAGAGAAAGAAGCAGGCTCCACGCAGGGGGCCCAACGTGGGACTCAATCCCGGGACTCCGGGACTATGCCCTGGGCCGAAGGCGGGCACTAAACCTCTGAGCCACCAGGGATCCCCCAAGGTTTGTATTTCTTATTCATTACTTGTCATGTATTTTCTATGTTGCACTTACACGCCCACCTCCCCCATGAGAATAGCAACTCTTCAAGGGAACATGCTTTGTGGTTAGCACGTATGGAGTGATTACCACGTGGACAAACGTTCTGTGCACCTTCTATTGCTTAACTTGCATACTCCTCTGAGAAACTGAGTTTCTTGCTTTTATCTCCATTTTCAGGTTTTGGAAACTGAGGCACAATGAGGTCAAAATAAGCTGCCCAAAGCCATATGGCAGTTAAAACCAGAACTCTAAAGCTATCTTCCCAATCTCTGAATGCCCTGAACTTCATGTAAGGGGTGAGGAGGCATAGTACCCAATACCAAGGAAGTAAAACTTGCTAGAACGTCTGCAACGGGTGGCTGCCTCACTGTGGACGCAAGATGGCGCCGTAGGCCCAGCCATGGTGCCTCACGGCGAGCGCCCAGGAGCCTGGCTCAGTCTGGTTCACAGGCCAGGCCACTATGGTTACTAAGGACAGAACTTCCAAAAGCATTGACTGCAACTGAAATTAGAAAATGCAGACTCCGCTGGGACTTCGTTTTTCTGTTTTAGGAATGGGAAGATTAATTTTGTCACTTACCTTCAAAGAGGGGAAATGACATCACATTGTTCAGAAATATTTTGTATATATTGGTGAGGGGATCTTATGGTCCCACGCAGTGTGAGGATCCAAGACAGAGAATGGTGACATGCAACCTTCTTTCCTTAAGGTAACACCTGCCTTCTCACCCCCATCCAGGGTTATAAATAGCTCCCAGTGCAGATTTTTTAGGGCCCACATACACATATGGCATCCTCCCCGTCTTCTGCTTGTCTCCTTTCCCCAGTGGTTCTAGCTCTCTTCATCAGAAAGTTCTGTGTATAAGAATGAAGAATAACTATATGATCTTATGCAGATTCTCTAAAGATAGATATTGGCCTCACCCATCAGCCTTATTTATCTGGGTGATTCTGTGATCTTTTCCCAAGGCTCTTTCCCATCATTTAAAAGAAATCTGGTGCTTCTCTGAACAATCTCCTTGAGATTTGTACATATGTCACAATATTATAGGTGTGCTTTCACAAGCACGCTCCCTCTGCTGCTCATGGCCACCTTGGGTGTGCTATGATCATGGACTTCTTTTTTGGTTAATTTTTAATTTTTTATTGGAGTTCAATTTGCCAACATATAGCACAACACCCATCAAGTGCTCATCCGATCAAGTGCCCCCCTCAGTGCCCATCACCCAGTCACCGCCCCCCCCCCCCCCGGGCACCTCCCTTTCTACCACCCCTTGTTCGTTTCCCATGATCATGGACTTCATTTCTTGCTACGGTCAAGTCTGTATCAAACTTGAGTTTGCTTCTTTACCTTTGAAATCTGTTTCTCGGAACTATAATTCCACTCCAAAATATGTACCCAACAGATTTGCATGCCTATGTTTACCAAAAGATGTGTTCTAGAAGGTTCACAACATTCCTGTTATCAATGTCTCCAATCTGGAAACTACCCAAATGCCCAACAGTGGAATGGATGAATAGACTGTAGGACACTTACTCCCTGAAATACCGTACAACAGTGAGAATGAGTTCAACCACACACAGGAAGAATGAATCTCACAAACTCACGCTGAGTGAGATAAGCCAGTCACTAAGGTGTACGGAGTCTATGATTTTCCTATATAAATTTTAAAAACCC